ATTATAACTTTGAGCAGTATACTGGCCAAGCCAATTTATTTAGACAAAAAAGATGTTCTAAGTACATATACCTTAAAGTGTTCTTTAAAAAGCATTAACCCCATTCAATATACAGCAGAAACATTTAAGATCATTCAAAAGACAAGTATATTGGGAGGCCAAGGTGGGCAGATCACCTGAAGTCAGGAGTTCGAGACCAGTCTGGCCAACATGGTGAAGCCCCATCTCTACTAACAATATAAAAATTAGCCAGGCATGGTGGTAGCCGCCTGTAACCCCAGCTACTCAGGAGGCTGAGGCAAGAGAATCACTTGAACCCGAGAGGTGGAGGTTGCAGTAAGCTGAGATCACACCATTGCATTCCAGCCCAGATGACAGAGCAAGACTCCGTCTCAAAAACCAAAATGAAACAATATAAAAAATAAAACTCATGAACTTATATTAATAACTTAGTAATGTATATCTCTTGCTTCATGAAGCTGTGCTTCATGAGTTTAAATTTTAAAAAATTATTACTTTAGTAAAAGCACAAATTACTGCTCTCTTTTTTCCACGTATGTTTTCCCAAGTTATAGTTCCCTCTTACTCTCCCAACTGATCACCTGCCACCCTGCAATCTGCTGCTCTGCTCAGCATTACCCGTCTCCCCTACTCCAATACCTGATTGTCTTCAGGCAAAGAAAATATTGTTGGAATTGCAGTTTGTTTTAAATATCGGATACCCCATCTGATGTCAAGAGAGTCAGGAGTAAAATGGTCACTACATAGAAACTGGTATTTACTGGGAACCCATGAATCTCGCTTCATATTCTTTAACCACTTTTCCAGTCTTTCTTTGTCATGTAGAGGAAATCTGGAATTAAAAAAAAGAAAAAAATGGAAAACTTTGCTATATTTTTACAATTTTGCCAAATGCCAACCCCATATATCTGAGTAACCTATGCATCAAGTAAGTACTACAATAGCAAGGCAACCACCCCTACCAAATAAGGGCATCTTCATGATAACTATTACCATATCATCTCTGCAGTAAGAGGACTAAGGTGTAAGACATGTAGCCAAGGCTCTCATCTGATAAGAGCTGAACACATCTCAGAGTCCCTTCAAGTAAAATATATGTGTTCCTATAAAGGATAAAATCTATTTGTATTTTGTATGGATTATGCTCCATTTTTATATTGTACAGTTTGCCTAGAACTAGAAAACAGCTTTGTATAAATTATAAATACCTATGCAAATGTATTTCATAATACCACAAGTCAAATAGTTTGTCTATAATTCAAGGCAGTATTAAGTTTTATGATCTTATTTATGTTAATATTTAAAAACTAAGTAGATATTATTTCTTTTCTTTTTTTTTTTTTTTTTTTTTTGAGACAGAGTTTCGCTCTTGTTACCCAGGCTGGAGTGCAATGGTGCGGTCTCAGCTCACCGCAACCTCCGCCTCCTGGGCTCAGGCAATTCTACTGCCTCAGCCTCCTGAATAGCTGGGATTACAGGCACGCGCCACCATGCCCAGCTAGTTTTTTGTATTTTTAGTAGAGACGGGGTTTCACCATGTTGACCAGGATGGTCTCGATCTCTCAACCTCGTGATCCACCCGCCTCAGCCTCCCAAAATGCTGGGATTACAGGCTTGAGCCACCGTGCCTGGCCAGTAGATGTTACTTCAAACAAATCATTTAGCTGAAAGAGTACTGAAAATATTCTGGTCTCTTTACTAGCATCAGCTTCAATTCTCTCTATATGTAATTTAGTCTAATAGTACTACAATTCTATAACCAATGAAGTGGAAACTCCAAACTTCAAGTTCTGAAAGAGAAACTCTGATACAAGAAAAGAACGAAACATGTTAAAAGGGATAGTCTCATATATTTTATATGAAACAAATCAAATATAAATGGCAAGACAGCTCTGTATACATTTTATTCCTGTACCTGACAATAACCTGGATTTACAGTTGGTCCTAGTATTACTCTGTGTTTTATAGGCAAAACTGGACTAATGGCAGAATTTAATAGAAAATTTTTCTTATCAAAATAAAAAGGTTTGGGTCAAAGTATACAACACAACATTTGAAAATGGTTTAGATTCCATTACATAATTTTCCAAGAACACAGTTCAAGACACATATCACATAATTTCCTGTTTAAAAAAAACAGTAACAATATAAGGTTTCTCATATGAAATGTAGCTGTTACATATTCCCTCCCCCAATCCCAACCATTTAGCTTATGTTTTGTAGTAGCATCATTTTTTCCCCCATAAATTCTGGTAACTTAAGATGCCATGGAGAGTCTGGGTACTCTGTAAGACATAACTTTTAATCCTAATATCCTTATATGGAAAAAAATCAGATAAACTACCTTTGGAAATTCTAACCATAGAAACAGTATTAATACAAGTTTTAAAAATATTTTAACTTTACAAATATTAGGTTGTAAGTATGACAAGCCTAACCAGGAAACGAAGTTAAAGGCAAACAGATTTTCTTTTAGAGGACCTGACTTCTTCTGGCCACTGGTAAATTCATATCTTTTGTTAAAACTGAAATGAGAATAGGCCTTTTACAGTAATGTTTTTTACTGTAAATTCATGTATATGGATGCTGTTTGCAAGTTATTTTTATTGTACCTATATGCTGTTATCAAATCATTAAAAAATACTTTGTGAATATCCTTATTGGTAACTGAACTGTATTGTTTCCTCAACAGATAAGTATCTGAGAAATCTTCTTGATCATGTTTCCTGAATAAATTACATCTTCATATTGGTTCAATTCATTTGACTGATAATTTTGTTTCATTGTCTTATGTAATTCCCAAAACAGCATATGATAATCACAGTACAAACTGGACACTATATTAACTGAATTCCTAAATTCATATACATTTAAACTACAGTTTGCTATAGTGTTAACATGAGCAAATTCAATTCAAGTTTGGCGCTACTGGAGAATAAAACCAATTCAATTTTTATTTTATGGATTATACACAAAATTTAAAAAAAACACACACTAGAAAGAATCCCACTTTTACTAAATTCAGTTTTCAGTGAAAGGAATCTTTATGATTCACTTCCATTTTTTTCCTTCCTAAAAAGTTACTGTAAGGTCCGCAAAGGTTAGTTAAAAATGTTAGTGTGGAATTATACCATATCTCCAATATCAAAGGCCAAATAAGTCTGGGAAATAACGGGTTCAACAAGATTTTTTGCTACAAACATTCTCAGAGATAGAGCCATTAATACAGTAGCATTTCCCAATAAACTGAAAGTAGGATTAGATTTTTTTCCTCCCTAAAACATCTCTTTGCATCTTGAGGCTGGGCTTCAAGGGAGACAGTCCTGAAAATATTGCCATGGAGTGTAAATTACTTGGGGTTGTCAGTTTGTTTTTGAGACGGAGTTTCACTCTCATTGCCCATGCTGGAGTGCAACAGTGGGATCTCTCCTCACTGCAACCTCTGCCTCCCGGGTTCAAGCGATTTTCCTGCCTCAGCCTCTGGAATAGCTGAGATTACTGGCATGTGCCACCACGCCCAGCTGATTTTGTGCTTTCAGTAGAGACTAGGTTTACTCCATGTTGGTCAGGCTGGTCTTGAACTCCCAACCTCAAGTTTTCTGCCCACCTAGGCCTCCCAAAGTGCTGGGATAACAGGCGTGAGCCACCGCAGCAGGCGGGGTTATCAGTTCTTTGTCCATTAATTAAAATACTGGAAAGCAGCTGAATCATTAGTGAATAAGTCCTTCAGATTTAAAGTAAAATGGGCACGAAACAACTGCTGAAATCTGAACCAGGTTAGATCGAAATAAATTGTTTTTAAATACAAGAAAAGATGGAAATGCAATATTTTAAATAAGTTGCTTTTCATATATTAATTATGTAAGTACTATTAATATGTTCACTTTATAGATATGTGAGGCACCCAAAGCCTAAATAATGTGCAAGAGGTCATTCTGCTACAAAGCAGTGGAACCAGGATCTAGCACTGAAGCCTGGACCCCTAATTATTATACACTGCTTTCCTGTATTTCTGAATAAAAATCAGTGCTTCCATAGTTTCATGGAAATGTTTCCTGGCTCTAGTAATTCAGAGTAACAGAATAGTGCCCTGTTCTCTGCAGAGTATATATAGCCCTAAGCAGAAGACTAGCTTTTAATTCTGGCTCTGACACAAAGCTTTCCAAGCCGGTCACCTAATCATTTTGGGACTCAGTTTCCTCAGGAGAAAAGTGGGATGAACTTGTGCCTATGCACCTGCCTCGCAAAGGGTGTAAATCAACTTTGTGTGCACCTTTCCACTTCGCAGGTTTCACGTATCTTAAATGGTGGTTAATGTTGCTCAATGAGATGAGATCACGTGAGGTGGGGAAAAGACTGTGAAAACCACAGAAGTCCGCGCAAACTTGACAGTTCTAACTGTTCTATTAAAACGCACACAGGACCCTGGGTCTCTCCAGCCCGCAGTCCTCGGGCAGGAAGGGCATTGGTAGGTAAACTGACAGCCTTTCCACGGTCTTCCCGCGGGCGACGGGACACCTACGTGGAGCTGAGGACTCGCATGCAGAGCGGATAGGAGATACCCAAGCCCAAAGGCCACCGGACCGGGACACCACAGGGAGGCTGACGCTTCTGCTTCAGAGACAACTTACGGGTAAAAACTCAGCTTCCGGTCTTTATTGTTTCGTCCCCGGCGGTTCTTACAACAAATCGCTGCGCAATAGCGCGGCATCACTCGGGTGAGGCCCCGGGAGACCCGGGCAGGCGACAGGTACAGGGCGTCCCTCCTCACTGAGGCTGCGCCGCAGATCCAGGCCTCTCGAGCCAATGCGCCTGCGCTGGCATGAGCCGGGAGAGCCGCCTTGTTTGTCGACTCACTTCCGCCTCCGCCGGTTTAAGCGCCGCCTTTTCGGGGTTGGAGCCGGAAGTGGCGTCTCGACTTAGCGGCAATAACAGTTTTCCACGTGCGCGTAGAGCGCCGGGGTCACGTGGGCAGGCGTAAGCCAATGGGGAAGCGTTTCGTGTTGGTCTTCTGAGATGGTGGCGCCAGCGGCAGCCTCCGGCAAGTGAGGAACTGGCTGAGAGGAGACTGGGCGCCGGCGGCCAAGGAGGAGCGCTAGGTCGGTGTACGACCAAGATCAGGGCTCTAGCCAGCCGACCGGAGCCAATCTTCAGGGTCGCCAACGCCTCAGCTCTGTGGAGGAGCAGCAGTAGCCCGAGGGTGCAGGTGAGGGACCAGGCCGGGGTCGTGGGGAGGGGCGTTCGGAGCGTCCCCCGAGCCCAGGCCTGTCTTTGTGAGCTGACCTGGCTTCGGCGTCCGCCGCGGTCGCCGCAGGGACGAACGGGCCGCATGGTTTTTGGCCGGGAGAGTTGGGGAACGGAGAGAGTCGCATCACAGGATCGTGTTTTGAGTTGTGCCGCTGGCTTTCGCGGGCGCCGGCCTGGAGCCCTGGCCGCGGGCAGCCTCTGTGGCGGGGCCTGGGCGGGCGGGGAGGCTGCTAGTCGCCCGTAGGTGAAGGCTGGACGGTCCAGCCTAGCTGGCCACCGAGGCCGGGGGACAAGGCACAGGCTGCTGGCTGGCGGGGCCGTCTTGGGGATGAGAAGTCTGTACAGTAAGAAAGCTAGCCGGGCGCGGTGGCTCAAGCCTGTAATCCCAGCACTTTGGGAGGCCGAGGCGGGTGGATCACGAGGTCGAGAGATCGAGACCGTCCTGGTCAACATGGTGAAACCCCCGTCTCTACTAAAAATACAAAAAATTAGCTGGGCATGGTGGCGCGTGCCTGTAATCCCAGCTACTCAGGAGGCTGAGGCAGGGGAATTGCCTGAACCCAGGAGGCGGAGGTTGCGGTGAGCCGAGATCGCGCCATTGCACTCCAGCCTGGGTAACAAGAGCAAAACTCCGTCTCAAAAAAAAAAAAAAAAGCTAGACTGCTTTAAAAACATCATCAGATGTCCGCCCGGAGACCGTGGAATAACATCCACGGAGCCAGTGAGGCGCCTCCCTGTCAGTTTTAGATCCACGCTTTGACTAGGGAGCAACCTGCAGTCGACGCAGCGTCCATGGGACACACTCTGTGTTATTTAAACCAAGAGGTGGTTCTTGATCCTTGGTACCCGTGACTACGAGTAACTCTGGAAATTAGCAATCCACCTGCCTGCTGATTACTCTGAGGAAAGGCCACTGGAGAGGAAGGCAGGCGATTTCCACAAACCGTAGTGTTTTTCGTCAGCTTTGTTATGGCATCATAGGTTACTAAGGACTCTGGTGGTTCCGCATTCAAAAAACGAATGGAAACCTTTGGTTTTGAATCTTAAGTCATTAAATACATGTTGTCAATAATTCCAAGTTAACATTTTTTGAATGGTTTATAGGTAAGAGAAACATTTTAACTACTGAGAAACTTGAAAGTAAGACTCTGCCTTAACCACAGTGCAGACTATCAAAGTTCATTTTTCTGGCAGCTTTAGCAGAAATCTCAAATTCTGTTCATCATGAGTTTTAAACAATATTTGGCCATGCTTCCTGGTTAAACATTTGGGATGTTAACATTTGGGAAAAAGACAATATTCTATTGTATTGTCAGTGTTAGTATTGCGTTATTAACTCTATTTGCAGTCCTTGGCTCACCTGCTGAAATGAAAGCTGAATTTTTAGAGAGAGATTAGTGCTAATTTAGATATACTCGACTATTTAACTTGGTGCTCAACCTTTTTTTATGTGTTTCTTTTTTTTTTTTTTTTCTCTGAGGTTAAACATATTATTATTCTCAGGATATGAATTCTTTAAAGGAAGGTTGGGATCTTACATTAATTGGTTTTCTTTTTTTTTCTTTCTTACAATGCTTGGTATGATGAATCTTCCATATGAACTGGTTAAAAATCAGTTATTTTAAATTTTCTATATCCTCTGTGTATGGCCAGAGTATTAGTGGACCGACAAAGCCAATAATTCTTACTGTTCTCAATAAGGTTAAGCCAATTTGGGAGTTAAAAAATCTGTAAGTGAAATAACGTGAACAGGTACAAGATATTGCATGCTTAACATTTTGATACTGCATTAGGTTTACCTTGTGTTGGATTTCTTTTAAAAGAAAAAATTTTTAAGATTAGCCCCATCCATAACATTTTTTTTTTTCTTTTCTGTTTTAGAATATTAGAAATGGCTACTCCCCAGTCAGTTTTCATCTTTGCAATTTGCATTTTAATGATAACAGAACTAATTCTGGCCTCAAAAAGCTACTATGATATCTTAGGTGTGCCAAAATCGGCATCAGAGCGCCAAATCAAGAAGGCCTTTCACAAGTTAGCCATGAAGTACCACCCTGACAAGAATAAAAGCCCTGATGCTGAAGCAAAGTTCAGAGAGATTGCAGAAGGTAAGTAAATGACAATCTCTGAAGTCTCAGGAGTATGAACTAGTAAGGAGAATGATAGCTAAGAAGTGTTTGTATTTGAAGGTTTGGTGGAGGTGGTAGAGTATGATTTATGTATAAATATTATATGATTCTCTGAGATTATTTTCTTATCACAGATACTTTGATTCCTGAATAAATACGTGAAACATAATAGATAATTTTATTGGTATATAGAACTAAACATATTGAAAATGTATTCTATATTATTTATAAAATCACTGTTGTTTCTATGGCAAAAGGGATTTTAGAAACCCAAAATTCTTATCAACTAACTTATGAGACAGAATATTTTACTATTTTAAACATTAAATACTTAAAAATTAAGTTAGACTCTAAAGTGCTTTGTTCTTCACTTGATCTGTTTCAAAGCCATATTTGTCTTTAAAGAAAACATTGAAACAATGTTTTCTTTAAACATTGTTTAAAGAACTAGACTTCAGACTAGTTTCTAAAACAAATTGCACCTCCTGAGCATTCAGTAATTATTGTTAGGTGGAGGTAACTGAGTAGGGAGTTAGAATTAAACGTTTACTTTAACTAGAAAGGAGGTGAAAAATCTTAATTCCTATTGTTTATAGTTGACTGTTTAATTTTTTAATACAAGTAATTATTTCACACCAATAATATGAAGATTAAAGAACCCTATAATTGTTGCCCACATGTTTATTTGTAGTAATGGTAGCATTCATTTAATGTCTGTTTATTATTTATTATACATGGCATTGTGCCAACTGCTGATAAAACAGCAGCTAATAAGACAGTTTCTGCCCTGTTTTATAACTTTAACTCTATGCTTATGTTTGTAATGTTTTGCTTTTATTTCTGATGTGAAATTCTTCCCTAAAACGGTAGTGTTCAATTCACTTACTTGAAGAGATTTGAATATATGTAATTTTGAATATTGTACCTTCAGGAACTAAAAATATTTTTATCTCTTTCAGCATACGAAACACTCTCAGATGCTAATCGACGAAAAGAGTATGATACACTTGGACACAGTGCTTTTACTAGTGGTAAAGGACAAAGAGGTAGTGGAAGTCCCTTTGAGCAGTCATTTAACTTCAATTTTGATGACTTATTTAAAGACTTTAGCTTTTTTGGTCAAAATCAAAACCCTCGATCTAAGAAGCATTTTGAAAATCATTTCCAGACAGGCCAGGATGGTTCCAGTAGACAAAGGCATCATTTCCAAGAGTTTTCTTTTGGAGGTGGATTATTTGATGACATGTTTGAAGATATGGAGAAAATGTTTTCTTTCAGTGGTTTTGACTCTACCAATCGGCATACAGTACAGACTGAAAATAGATTTCATGGATCTAGCAAGCACTGCAGGACTGTCACTCAACGAAGAGGAAATATGGTTACTACGTACACTGACTGTTCAGGACAGTAGTTTATTCTTTTTCTGTTCTCACTAAATCCAACTAGTTGACTCGTCCTCATTATCTTTGATGCTAAATGATTTCCTGTGAACCATTTTGACAAGTGCATGATTTCACGTTAAACAATTTGATATAGCTATTAAATATATTTAAGGATTTTTTTTTTTTTTTGACAAATTCAGCAACATTCAACTAGTAGAGAAATGCTAATTTCCCTGATGAGGAAAGTTTCTTTAAAAAACATGTAGTTTTTGCCTAGTCCTTTTTCTCTACCTGCCCTTCGGCTTATTAATGTCACCAGTTTTATTACCAAGAAAAGATTGAGTTCAGCCGGGCACGGTGGCTCAAGCCTGTAATCCCAGCACTTTGGGAGGCCAACACGGGTGGATCACGAGGTCAAGAGATCGAGACCATCCTGGTCAACATGGTGAAACCCCGTCTCTACTAAAAAATACAAAAAATTAGCTGGGCATGGTGGCGCGTGCCTGTAATCCCAGCTACTCAGGAGGCTGAGGCAGGAGAATTGCCTGAACCCAGGAGGCAGAGGTTGCAGTGAGCTGAGATCGTGCCATTGCACTCCAGCCTGGGTAACAAGAGCGAAACTTCGTCCAAAAAAAAAAAAAGAAAAGATTGAGTTTACCTGATTAAACTTTAAAAATTATTGTAGATTTAAGTTGTGTGAACCTAATGATTTTTGCAGTGAAACCTTTACAAATTCAAAATTGCATGTTCTTTAACATCTGTGACTTGGATTGCAAAATGTACATGAAACTGTATAATTGAGTCATTCAGCAAAGGAGAACAGCATCTTGGTTAATTGCTACTGAAAGGTTGGGAAAGAGATGGTTTGATATTTACCACAGCACTGTGCCTTTCTACAGTAGAACTGGGGTAAAGGAAATGGTTTTATTGCCCGTAGTCATTTAGGCTGGAAAAAAGTTGAAAACTTATAAAATATTGACAAGAGATTGTCATGTGTTTGGTCCCAGGCTAAAAATGATATTGTAGTGTTGAAATCTTAGCTACTTAACATATCTTTTCACATTTCTTTCTTAGTTGTTGACACTCTAGGTCTTAATACGGATTTATTTGTGTGTGTAGTGTCTCTTCTCTACTCATCTTTATCTAGAAATTGACTAATACCTCATTCTGTTTGTAAAACCAGCCAGTAATTTCTGTGCAACCTTATTATGTGCAATATTCTTAAATAATAAGAAATGTATGCTTTTGTTTTCTGATAGACTTATTTCTTTAGTTCTGCACTTTCCACATTATACTCCATATGAGTATTAATCCTATGGATACATATTAAAATAAATATCTCATACAACATTGTATGTGAGAGAAATACAGATATTTACAACCTGATATTCTTTGTTGTTGTTTTATTGTTAAAAGTTTATTATGCAACTCTGGAGGTTTAGAGGGCATACAAGCTATGAGACATATGCTGATCACAGGCTGTATCCACGAAGTTACTTTTGACTAATCTGAAAACCCTGATAGGATTTTGTTTGATTGTCATTGGTAATTTCTACTGCATTCCTACCATCCTTCTCTTACAAATATTGATAGCTTGAAGATCTTCTAATTACAATTATGTTGTATTTGCTTGCTAGGAGCCAAGTGTTCCTTCTCCAGTTCTTTCCTCTTTGGGCCTGGTTGGGTAGAAGCAGAAACTTTACATAAAGCTGTATTTCTTAATCATCTTTAATTTGAAACTGTTAAGAAAGTGAATTTATTCTGTTTTATTTATGTAACTTATTTCTTGAAACTTGTATCTACTAGTTTAATAATAAAATTAGCTATCTCTTGAATTTTGGGCTGAGGATTATCTGTAGCCTATATAAAAAAAAAATCAGGCCGGGCGTGGTGGCTCACGCCTGTAATCCCAGCACTTTGGGAGGCCGAGGCAGGGGGATCACAAGGTCAAGTGATCGAGACCATCCTGGTCAACATGGTGAAACCCCGTCTCTACTAAAAATACAAAACACTAGCTGGGCATGGTGGCGCGTGCCTGTAATCCCAGCTATTCAGGAGGCTGAGGCAGGAGAATTGCCTGAACCCAGGAGGCGGAGGTTGCAGTGAGCCGAGATCGCGCCATTGCACTCCAGCCTGGATAACTAGAGTGAAACTCCGTCTCAAAAAAAAAAAAAAAAGTTTTGAGACATTCCAGTAATATATAAAGCAGAAGAGTGTGGATTGTGAGAGAAATCAGAACAACCACAAACAGGATGCCCTGGAGAAGCTTTAAGGATTGGATTTGGGCGAGGGTAGTGAGAAACCAGCCAGAATTCATTCATATTAATTTACTAAACAACTGCATTGGAAAGCTCCTCTCTTCGGTACTCCCTCCAGGTAAGCAGTTAACAAAAGTAACTTTTTCCTCTGGTAAGGGACTAAGAACAAGTCTTGAAAGAAAGGGATTATTTGGGGGAAGACTTCCAAGTTGAGAGTATTAGGGCGTGAGGTGAAGGCAGAGTAGAGGTGAAGTGACTTTTCACTTGAAGGTCAAGAGGGTGCTGGTAAGAAATGGCAGCACTCCCAGAGTAAAGCCTTATGTTGGCATGGTGAGAAACAACTTCTCTGCATACACAACTGTGGGTGCCTGCTGGTTAAAAATCCCTGACAAATTTAGCCGGGTATGATGGCCTGCACCTATAGTCCCAGCTACTCTGGAAGCTGAGGTGGGAAGATCCTGTGAACTCAAGAGTTTGAGGCTGCAGTGAGCCATGATCGGCCACTGCCCGACAATTTACTGAGAACCATCATTCCTATTCAAAAAGGAGATCTAATGCAGACGTGTAACTGCTGAAGAAACTGCTTTTCTCAGCTATTCGTGCAATTTGATCTAATCCTTCATAAACAAATACTGATATCTAAGGAATGTCAGACATTTAAAGAAAACTAACAGCTGGGAAAGGAAGCCCTGACAATTTTAGCCCTGACACTATAATTTAAAAGATTGAAAGAATTTAAGATTCTAGTATCAGATTGTTTCATACAATACGGCATCAACAAATAAGGACAGTTCTTGTCTCAATCTGCTTCAGGATTTCCTTTCTCTAATGATGGTATCAGAGTAGATGAAATAATGTGAACTCACATTTAGTTACATCTACATCTAACAAAGTCAATGGGAGGTAACAGCAGATGTGTGGTACATACGTTCTGTACCATGCAGGCCTACTTTGTCTTATGAAATTCATATTCTTGCTCATATCTCAACTTTGTTATTCAACTCCCTTGCAAACTTCTCTCCAGCGGTTGCCCTAATGTGGTGCAACCTAAATAGTTTCTTGTACAGTTCTCTATGATTACTTGTTATAATACACTGTAAGTAGTGAGCAGGATGATAGGGTGATTACATTCTTGTGGAAAAAGACAAGCAATAACCATATGAATAAATTATAAACTGATAAAGTATGGTAAAAGGAAACGTAGCACAGGAGATGAAAATTGGGAGGGCAGGCAGGTTGAGGATGTGTTGCAATTTTCGACAGGATTGTCAGTGTTGGCCTCATTGAGAAGGTAAATTTGAGCAGAGACTTGAATCATGTATACAGAAGGTGGAAGCATACGTGGGAAGTTGTAGGAATGGCAAAGAAGCAAGCATAACTGGAAGCTAGTGAGCAAACCAGAGTAGTCAGAGATGAGTTCATAAAGTTAAGAGGGGTGGAAAGCAGCTTTACAGATCACCTAGGGCCTTGCCAACCTTCATGAAGCATTTGACTTTGGAATGTGATATGATGGCTGAGCTTGGAGCAGATAAATGACTTAATCTTTAAATCATTTTAAAAGGATCACTCTACCTGCTTTGTTCAGAAGAGACATAGAGGGGCAATGGTAGAATAGACCAGTTTGGAGGCTATTTCAGTATGGGAGGATGAGAAATTGTTGCAGCTTGTGCATTGCATGAGGGTGGCAGCAGTGGAAGTGGTGGGAAGTGGTTGGATTCCAGATGCATTCTGCCAGTAGAGCTACCAGGATTTGTTGATGAGTTAGATGTAGGTGTGAAAGATCGAGGAGAAAACTATTATTCTAAGCTTCATGTCCTGAGTAACTGGAAATACAGAGTTGCCTTTAAGATGGGAGAGGCTGCAGAAGGAAGACATTTAGGAGGAAAAATCAGAAGTTGGGCATGGATATACCAAATTTGAGATGATTAGTAAATGGGTGGAGATATGTCTGAAGGTTGGGAGAGACAGTGAAGCTGGAAATGTACAGTTTGGAATTGTCAAAATACATGATATTTTAAACTTTGAGAGTAAATGAAATCACTGAGGGAATGAATGTATAAAAAAGCAAGTGAAGAACTGAGTCCCCAGATACTCTAAAAATGCAAAAAGAAAATGAGCGTACAAAGGCATCTGAGAAGCAGCAGCCAGTAAGTAACGAGTTTTGTGTCTTGGAATAAAGTGAAGCAAATGTATCAAGAAGTAGAAAGTGGCTGGGCATGGGCTCACACCTGTAATCCTAGCCCTTTGGGAGGCTGAGGTGGTTGGATTGCTTGAGGTCAGGAGTTAGAGACCAGCCTGACCAACATATGAAACCCTGCCTCTATTAAAAATACAAAAATTAGCCAGGTGTGGTGGTGGACATCTGTAATTCCATCTACGTGGGAGACTGATGCAGGAGAATCGCCTGAATCTAGAGGCAGAGATTGTGGTGAGCTGAGATTGTGCCATTGCACTCCAGCCTGGATGACAGAACAAGACTGTCTCCAAAAAAAGAAAAAGAAAAAGCAATCAACCTTGTAAAATACTGCCACTAAGTCCAGTAAGATGATGACTGAGAACTAACTATTGTTGTTTTTAGCAATATAGATACAAAAAATGACCTGGATACAAATTTCTATCAAGTTGTAGGGATGTGCCTGATGGGAACAGGTTTAAAACAGAATGGCAGGAAGATTAAGTACTCTTAAATGATTTGAAATAGAAAACATTTCTGGATGGAATTTTTATCATGGACTTTTTACTAGAGTGTCAGCTATGATTCAATCCATGTAGCAACAGCTTATTCTTCAGAATGACAGGAGTAAATAAGTATGCTATGAAAAAAAAATCATGTTTAAATAGATTTGTGAAATCTGGGTTGGGATTCAAACCTTGTTAAATATGTTTCTTTTTTTAGGTGAGTGCTAGGGTCTGAATGTTTATGTCTCCCCAAATTCATATAGTATTAGGAGATAGGGCCTTTGAGTGATTAGCTCAGGGGGCAGAGCTCTCATTGCTGTTACAGAAAGGGCCCAAGGGAGATCCTTCGTTTTTTTTCTACCATGTGAGGTTAGAGAAGATCTACAAGGAAGAGGGGTCACCAGACAGTCAATCTGCTGATGCCTTCATCTTAGGCTTCTCAGCCTCTAGAACTGTGA